AATTCTCCCCACCCTTTATACGAGCATTAGCTCCTGCCCATCGTTTGGCTATTACTTTCTTTAGAAGTATCTTCAGAAGATACTTTACTCTCTGTCCATTCGGTTGCTAATTAAATTGATGGACCGTCTGTAGTGGATTAACTTCCTTTCGTGCTCCTTCCTGGGGTAGACAGAGGACAGAGGACCACCAACCCCCGCGTTTCGGTTTCGGTTTTGGATTTGGATTCGAATTCAGATTCGATTGAGTTTAACGTTTTGCTTTTGAGGTTTCCGCATTCCAACTGCAATCCTACCCAAGGTCAATGAAAATTCATGGTGCGCGGTGCGTCGTGAGTGGTGCGTAGTATGTGGGTTCAGGGGATGGATGTAGGAATGAATTGGGACACTTTTTCTACCATGAATGGTGGAACCACCCTAACGCTCGATACGCGTTTGCCGGAAAATAGAAGCAACATTTCGTTTCCCAGCACAAAACTAATAATTAAATCGACAAATGAATTCACACCCTTCTTTGAACGAGAGAAATCAACCAAAAACGCAGAAATTACTAGCCATAGAGGGGTCGGATATCCCTCAGAAAAATGAGAAATTTTATTTTCAAGGCCAATGACATTTGTCATTCACATTCGCATCTCAATTTATCTCCTTGATGAGCTTTGGAAATTTGTCTACAAATGTGAGAAACTGTATAAATCGGAGTATTTTTAGCTATATTTTGGCATCTGATTTTATTGTAATATTTTTTAAGTCATATTTAGTACTGAATAGTTGTTAAATTCCTTTCGCTCTAGTACTCATCATTCCAACAACATTTTTGCCTTCTTTTAGGCCAACAAACACACAGCCAATCAACTGATTCAAAAGCCTGAAACAACATTGCGAGAATTTCTCATCTGTTTGGCAGAGTTGCAGCGACTTCCTGGGGCACCCGCCCACCCGCCCTTTAGCGGGGAGTGTGTGTGTGTGTGTGTGTGTGTAGGGGGGCATGCAACATGGAGCATGCACTGCACACGCACATGCCCTGGGATCTGGGGGCTCTTTCCGTTGCACCGCGGGGCTAAAACAATTTACGACGCGCAGTCAATAAATTTCAATTAGACACAAAAACAACACAAACAGCAACCAGAGTCTGGGGCACCCTTTCTCTGCCTTTCCCGACAGCATTTGCACTCCGTCTTTGTTTTTGTTGCATTTGCATTTCAAAGCACTCATAAAATACCAGAAATCGGAGGATGGGATCGATTTGATACTAGTTTCAAAGGATAGCTACAATATGACAGAAGAAGCTCTCTCATTTCGCTACGCTTTTCTCCTATCACATCCTATCACACAGAATGATTTGTAAGAATTTGTTTTCCTTTTAATTTTCAACAGAAATTTCTCAAGTTTTTAATACATTTTTAGAGGAGTATTAAAAATATTTCAATAGCTATTGAGAAATACTATTTTGAATGGGAGGAATTTTGTAGCCATGGCAAATGTCGTGGATAATCGTGACCGTCTGAGGTCTCTATTTTGTGTATTTGGGGGGTTCAAGTAATTAGTAAACAGACATTTCGTGTTACTTCCCTCCGAAAAGTTTGGCCACATAAAAGTGATGACTTTCATAAAGCAGAGCAAAGAGTATGGGCAAAATGGTGCAATGGTGCAATGGTGCTCACCACCCCTCACGTAATTCATATGGTAGTTTTCCCCTCTGGGGCATAAACCTACCCAAATGGGTGGACTGCTGGAGTATTCGTTCATTGTTCGTTATGATTCATGGCTACTACAGCAGTAAACTAAATATTAATGTCTCCCACACACACACGCAACCGAATATAACGGTATATACACTCATACATACTGTACATACGAATGGTACATAGGTATGTTCATATGTTTAGAAGAGTGAAAAAGTCACCCTAACAGAAGAAGGAAACTCCTCGCTGGAGAAGCATTTGATGTCATTTCATTTCACGTTTCCATTCGTTTCTTCCTTTTTGCTGCTTTCGCAAATCGGACCTGTTTTTTCCACCGCTCTTCAGAGTTGCTTTTGCTGTCGATAACCGATAACTGATCGTGTTTATGATACAGTAGCGTTGCTCTTTACAGGAGTTTTCCCCCTTTTTTGCCAATCAAACTGGCAAATGTTTTCTTTTTTGTGATATGCATGTGGTTTTGCTTTCTTTCCTTTAGCTTGTTGCAATTTGATGTTGCATTTCCGGCATTTGCTGGCAGCATCTTGTTGCCGTTTGATGTTTTTGATGCAGCCAGAGGGAGAGAGAGAGTGGCCCTGTGCTCCGTGGAAAGTCATCAACAAATTTGTTGTCGAGAGATACTATTTTTAGAGGATTTTCTGCAACGATCTGGCAAACACTCAAACCGATATGTTCGTCTGGGGAGAGGATGTGAGACTTCCATGGGTTTCAAAGCTGCATTTGTATTGCATTCTTTGCATCGTTATTTGAGTCTGCTTCGAACCTCATGGACTTCTTTTAAAGATTGCTTTCAAGTTCCATTCACTTTTGATTCACACAATGACGCATTCAATCTACGATTGGTGCCACTCAAAACTGAATTATTGATTCACATAATGATACAATTAGTCATTCCAGAAGAGCTTTTATTCTCAACTTCATTTTGTTCAGGGGCACCTCCGGTACAGGGTTGCATTTGATTGTTCAATCGGTTGCGCCACTGTTGCGCATTCTTTCGATTGTAAGGGAAAAACCCTTCATTGTTTCTGTTGTCGAACGAAAAATTAATTATGTTCCCCTTCATTCTTGCCTGCTCTCTCCATTTCGCATTCTTCCCACCATTTCTTACCCCTTCCCAGCACTCTTTCTCCTTTTTTCTTAAATTCATCAGAGAGATTTCTGTTACGGTTGTGCCACGTGCCACCACGCAGAATGACACGAAATGGGTGTGGTGTGGCACTTGGGGTCTTATCTGCAACTGTGGCATCTGCAGATTTTTGCCCCTGCATTTAATTGCCACAGCATGGGTGGGGCGTCCCCATGTCAGCCTTGCTGCAATGATAATTGTTTTTCTTTAAGCCTCATTTTACGCTTCATTTACGGGTGGATTTTCTGTTGGCGTTTTACCATGGAATCTGATTGGACATTTGTACTTTTTCGGGCAAAATTTAAGGTATTTGGTAACACAATTCGATGGAGATGTTTATCTAACAATTTACCAAAAACATAACTACGAAAATTGTAGAACTTTATTTAGTGTGAATATATTTCTTCCTTCAGTTTTGAGCGGAAAATCATCTAAAGAATTTCCAACTAAAATTGAATGATTATGAACAGATTTACATCGTTTCACATTTTTGCCAAACAACGTTTAAAGGTCAACGTTTAAAAGGAATGCAAGCCCTGAAGGTGTACAACGATCAATGGTTGTGTGTGTGGGTACTCCCTCCCCCATTAATAGAGAAAACTACTCCAAGACGTGACTTTTCCCGAGTACATTTTTTTCCGCAACTAATACATTTTTTATGCATGTGACTTAATGTCGGAATATTCAAGAGAAATAAATAAACAACTAAAGCAAAAAACTAGCACATGGGAATGGCAATAGAGTGGCGGATGCCTCCCTTGGATCGAAAATGAAATGGAAATCGATTCCCATTGGCAACAGGTATCGGCGTAAAAAAGGGTGTGGGTGTGACGTTACACGTCAGTGATTTTGTCAACAAAAAAGTGGAATCTTTGCATGCCAAGCCCTGACCAACCTACGATCGGATCTCATATTCCACTGATGTATGTTTACGAATAGGAGGAGGAGGGTATTCATTCATCGTGTACGATGGCTCTCCCCCCTACTGTAAACAATGAGAATAGTTTCCCCCACATCGCAACAAATTTTGAAACGTGCATAACGAGTATCCAATTGAGAAATGCATTTTCTTAATGGGGGAAAAACAGCAAACATTTCATCGATACAACACGAAAAACAATTGGAGAGTTCACTGGATAATACTATGGATGATATTTCCAACAGAATTTATACCATCCAGCATGTACTAGAGGACTATAGAGGACTTCCAGCTGCCAATCAGATTTCATTGAAAAACTCTAAGCTAAGTCAGATGGATTTAAAGAAGTTGTGGGAGATTTTATGGCACCTCACGAGACTACTCTCTTTATTGAAGTTCATAAATTTGGGATCTTGAATTGCTGCGAAGAATCTCTATTCGCCGGGTGGAAACTCAGTTAGGGATAGGTTTCTTTTTGGGGTTTCCTTGGATCCACGAATCCATACATACATACATCAGTTATGCTGTTTATTCTCTTTCTCTCTCTCTCTCTCTGTCTGTCATGTCGCTCCTTCTCTTCTTCCGCTGCTTCAGACGAGTGTGAGAGAATGCAAGAATGCTGATAAATGTCTCTCTCTCTGGCTCCCCTGTCTCACTGTCTTCAAGGCCAACGCAAAAGCTTTGATGCGGATATGCGGATGCGGGTGTGTGAGTGAGCGAGAAACCAAAAACACGATGCGAAATAATTGAATTTAATTAACATGGGAAGCAGAGACACAAAGAGACACAGCGAAGCAAAAGAATAGAGCAGCAGAAATCGCCTCAGCAGTAGCAGTGATTTCCACACCAAGAGGGTGGAAGGGAGAGCGGAATAAACCTGCACCACTCCACTTTCATATGTAGATAACTGTTAGTTTGTGTTAAACACACAATGTTTGTTTTTGGTTCTTAAAAAAGTTGAAAGTTAATTAAATAAATGTATTATGTGATATGTAAATCCTTAGAAAACGAAACACGTTTAGCATTCCCCGAATACTGATCGTAAAAAAAAAGCAAAAAGATTTCAACAAAGATTGAGAATGAGAGTGGTTTGTGTTTCTGAAGCATTTTAGGTATAAATAACTTAGAAATCCAACAAAAATATGCGGAAATGAGAAACAATTTAATATTTTGCCATATTTTCTAGTGCGTACAAATTATTTCTGTAGATTTGTTGACGAATTCTCTCTTTCTGCAATCGTACTGTATGTCTTACCTGAATGATAAATGCTGCCAGAAATGCTAAACTCCATAGCCATAAATGTTGTTCAACGGCTTTTCTTGTTGTTGTTGTTGTTGTTGCTTCTGCTGTTGTTGCACGTCGATGTTTCTGCTGCTGCTGCTGCTGTTGTTTTTGGGTTGTTTTTTGCCTTTTGAGTCGAATTCTAGTTGTTGCTTTGCTTAGCTGGTACAACATTTTGTGGCCGTTGTTGTGGCTTTTTGTTGCTGCTGCTGCTGTCTGTCGCCTCTCTTCTGTGTGTGTGGCTCTCTCTCTCTCTCTCACTCGGTAGCTGGTAGCTGTTTGTTGCTGTGGTTTTTGTTTACTCTCTGAATTGTCTCGTTTCTTAGTTTTTTTCAATTTTTGGCAGTTTCAGCAAGAGTTTAGTTTTTACTTTTATTAAATGCATTATTTAAGGAATTTTAGTCGTTTTAGGTTGATTTTAAGTTTTAAATTGGTCGAAGCTCGACGGCTTTTTGGGGGGGGGGATCTGTCTGCAAAAGAGAAGCTTGCAATGAGGTAATGGTAAGGGGAGAGCGCGAGAGCAAAAGAGAGAGAGCAAAAAACAGACTTCAAGCTGAGCTTTGGGTACGGTTGCGCCGCCGCAGACGAATCTCTCTCTCTCTCTCTCTGTCTGCCAAGCTTATGATCAGATGTCTCATTCACTCTCTCTTTGGATTTTATAGAACCCCCTCCACCCTCGTTTTGCCCACAGAAATAGTTGCTAATGGAAGTGCACGCACCATCCCATTCTTCCAACTCAGCACCACCCTTCTCCGAGCAACAACTTAAATCTCCGGCTGACGTCAGCGAAAGCTTTGCCTTTATGAAATATTTAAATGCAAAATAAAAGGAAACACACACAAGTATACAATATATAAAATAAACAAATATTTAAAACACTAAAAGCAAAAACCAGTTTTGCAAGGGTATACACTTTGCAGAGCCAAAGAGGGTTATATGATTTTAAGCAAAAGCTTGGATCTGGGACGAAATCTGAAGATCTGAACAATCGAAAGACTTGTATTTATGGAGCTAAAAAACTCTTCTTATGTAAGCTAATTTCATTTTGCTTTCTAGACCTCACATTTAAATGTCCAATTGGTTGTTTTGGGTGACAAGCATTAAATATTCCCCTGTTTTATTTGACCTAGATCGTATGATCTGTGCAGAGTATCTTCGTCTTCGGTTTACCTCAAATTCAGGTCTTTTCCTTTGCTTCGTGGCCTAGGGTCGTGTTTAGCTTTTTTTTTAGTGGTTGTTGTCGCCATGCTAAAAAAAACAAACAACAACAAAAAGACCTTCAACTTAAGTTTTCTGTTGAGAGCCAACACAGCGAGAGAGAGAGAGAGCAGCATGAGATGGCATTGCCAGAGGTGGAAGATTGCATTGATTACGGCACTGATTGATCTTTGGGATCTTTACTGGGGAGCCATAAAGCGAAGAGAGAGAGAGAGAGAGCTGCCGAAAGCCAGAGCATTGTTCAGCTATGAAGCGCAGTAAAAAACAACAATAAAAATCTACCTAAAAAAGCTCATTAAAACAAAACAAAAATTTAAACAAGCTTTAACTGTGTGCTCTCTCTGTCTCTCTATGCACCCATGGTGCATATTATGTGTTTTACATGAGATACTAATGTTCCAATGGAACCCTAACTATGCCTTTTCTTAGAGGCGTATCCATAAGGCAACGGATTCTGCAATGGGTTCTCCCAAACCGCTGGCTCTTTCTTCTCCTCTCTTTGCTTGCTGGCATCACAACCTGAATGTGGGACAGGCAGAACCGGAGGAGACAGACAAGTTTCTGCATGTTTCCATGTACCATATTTATGGATTATTTATCATTCATAAAAAGTTCATGGATTGTGCTTTCGGCATTTCTTCAATTACCAAAAACCAACAACAGCCAAGAGACACAGGAAGTGGAGAAATTTTCATTCAAATTTAAGCACACAGACACATACACACGCACGCACACACAACTAATGAGAAACACAGTGGCAGGCAGAGTGAATGAGAGGCGTAGAGAGAGAAAATTGCTAAAAACGCGCTGCTTGTGGGTGAGAAGGTGTGCAAGAGGATGAGGATGGATGCTGGGCAAATGGCAGTGAGAGTGGATGAGGTGAGGTCGGTCAAAGAGGGGGGCGGGGAGGGCGGGGTTGGGCGCGAGAGAAAGCAACGGCATGCCAAAAAACGACTGCCGACGCCGTTTGCCGCCGGGTTGCGTAGGTGTCGCTGCTTCTGTTATTGTTGCTGCTGCTGCTATGCTATTGCCCGCGGCTACGACGCACTGTGGAACGCACACACACACACACACCAGTCTGAACCAGAAAAAAAAGAAAACAACTCTCAATTTCTGCTTTTACTTTAAGCTTAATTCAGCGTTTCGTTTCTTATATTTTCCAATGCACAACAACCAGCAGCAACAAAAATATGATTCATGTATTAACGGACCAAAAGACCAGGTTGTCTTAACCCTCTCGTGACATGCTGGGGTTCAACAAACACACACTTTAATATCATTAGTTGACCAAAATCGTTTGTACATTTTTGCGTTCAAACATTTCTGTTGTAAACCGTTGCCCCGCTGAAGAAGAAAACAACAACAAAAAAGACGTACCACACGAACACACAACGCAACGCGCGCGCCTTAAACATACACCACCGCATAAACACGAAAAAACAGAGACACCCGACCGACAGCCGACAGAATGAACACGAATACAACTACAACACACGTTCGTTCGTTTCAAAGTCAAAATCAGTGTGGCCGCGGAACTATCGACAAAATATATAAGGTCAGACCTTCAAACATATACCAAACTATGCCGTTTCATTTTACAAATATACCGTATATATACTGTAGTCTTAAATCATATTCCTCGATTTGGATGTTCTATTTAATATTACTAGCTAGTTAGTAGGCTCTGCGCTAAAACAATAATTTAAGCCAACTTATCAATCAATTATCCACAAGAATGTCTAGTTTTCAAAACATCCTGAAAAGTATTAACACTGGAATAATAGTTTAATCTGATTGAAGAATAATCCTTTTTATTGGATTGTATACCTTCAGACCTTATGACATTACTACTACACATTTTCTACATACCAATAACATATTTAGCAGAATATCGAAACATTTAACAGAATATTTGAAGGATATAATGTCTAATGTTTAAGATTAAAGATAAATCTAATTAAAGACAAATGAAAATGAAGAGGAGCTCCTTAGGAGCTCTGCCATTATGGTTATTTTGCTATATAAATGTGAGCATTTTATTGAATTCACTTTGATTTGAGTGTGATTGCTATTTTGAAATATATTCAGTGATCAAGCAGCGCGTTAAGAAATAACATAACAGAAGCAAATTTGAATTCTAACGCAAATTTCTATGTTAACTTAACAGGTGTCACACATGCAAAATAAAGGACAAAGCGCGCGTTTTTTTAAACGTGAATGAGGATAATATATATTACGTACATTTGGATTTTTTAAATTTATATCTTTTCAGTATTTTGTTTTATTTTGGTACTCGTCTTTGGTATAAACCTATTAACAGAGAAACATTTGGATGAGCCATGTTAACTGTTAACAATGGCGACAGGTAAATTACACCGGCGATTTTAATGCTACATGAAGGAAATTCTCCAGGGAAGTTCTCTCCTGTGTTTCAACGGTCAGGGAAATTCTCACCCTATCGATAGATTTAACGCTCTTCCAACTTATTTCTGCGTTTCAAATATGAGCAGAGATATACGCGCTCTTATTTGAAATAATTTGTTTCCTTTCTTCTTATTCCTTGATCATAGTTATAATCATAACTTTACATAGCCATATTAAATCTTAGATGTTGTATAATATATAATACATACATGTGTATGTATGTATATGTGTGTTCGTACATTTATTTTTAATGTTTCTTATTATTCATATTCATATATTGTGTTGATATTCCTCGATATTGATATATTCGGCTTATAATTCACAGCTAGCTAGCACCTTTAGTGCTCCTATAAGATTTACTTAGTTTTGGTACTCAATTTGATTGAATTATACGTAAAATAGGGTTTTATAAAAATGGACTTATTTAAAATGATATATTGACACGAAATCTGCACATCTTCTACATATTAACTACATGTTTATGCAATCAGCGACAGAGACACCTGGCAAGGAATTGTGTTCGGTTGTTGATAAGTTTCGCCGTCGTTTTTTCATTTCTGAGTATTTCTACACGTTTGCTACACTGGTGAACAATTTACGGTAGAACTTCAAGCAAGAAACTAAACCCAAGCCAAACAGCGCTTAAAGTTGCAGCTAAAGCTAACGATGCATGATCATGTACACCCCCATAGATGTCGCTAGCGCAATATGCCTGGTTCGTGTCTCGGCTAGGGAACAGTCGGTTTCAATTATGAGAAATATTTGTTTATTTATTGTTCAATATGTACACAAGTTTGCACAAATTTATACAAAAAACTAAACAGAAACCGAGTTCTTAGAAATTTTGACCGATTGACTTAATACAACTTGTGGGAATTTCCCTGACGAGGTGCACCAGGGCCAACAAACTTAAGGTCAACAAAAACACATTTAAATCTAATTGCTACTGCCATTATTATTTAAGATAACTTGTTTAGCCCATTGACAAATCATTTGATTAACTTTCATGTGAAAACCTATTTAAATACGCTGGTTTTTCGGTATTTGCTATTTTTAGACATGTTTTCTTTTACTTTTATGTGCGAAAAAAAAAAGAATTTTCTTGAGGAAAGAACGACGAAAACATGAAATAATTTTCTTTGAAATTGTCCCATTGGCAGGAAGGTTTCCGAGATTTAATTGATTTTTCTTGGTGTTGGGGCTGACCACCCATCAGCAGCACTCGCTCGGATCAGTGTGAGAACTGTTTCAGTTTCAGTGAGTATAAATAAGTGCACGGCTGGCCGATTAATTTGCTTGGGGCATACAATTTGCGTTAACACAGAGCTTGGAGCATGCATTGAGCATTGGGATGGGCATGGGGTTGGGTTTGGGGATGTGGATGTGGTGTCCATCCCCCAGAGAGACAGAGAGAGAGAGAGAGAGTGAGGAAGGATCTGCGACCATGGCCCTCTGATCGTCTAACTGGCAATCTCTGCGGCAAGTGGTCGATCGATGTGGCTTTGGCTTTGACTGCTTTGACTTAATTCAGGGGCTTAAGTTACGGTACTCGAATTGGGATTTCGATGGGAGATGAGATGGCCGGGACCTGCCCATTTCATGGCTAGTAGACCGTTTAAGTGCCGGCGCATCCCATCAGGCTCTCAGTCTGGGTCTGGGTCTGGGCATGGGTCTGGGCTCATATGCATACGCCTGATCATTTCAGAAGTCAGGAGTTTGGAGAGTCAGTCTCGACTTCAGCTTTGGGTTTTGGCTTTGAGTTTTTGGTTTTGGGTTGGGTTGGGTTGGGTTTTGGCATTGGCTTTGGCTTTGGCTTTGGCTTTCGCCACATAATTGGTCTTGGTCTTGGTCTTGGTCTTGGTCTCTGGCGTGGCATCATCGTCTGGGTATCTGTGGGTATTGTATATGCCTACATATCCGTATCGTATGCCGACCAATTGAGAGGGGGCCCCCAATTTGAGTGATAATGATTATGCGTTGCCTCGACTCTTCCCCATATTCTCCATATTCTCAGTTAGGTCGTCGAAGAAGAAGCCCATTCGGAGCCTCTGAGGCCCATGCTGTGGTGTTACTGTGATTTGTGGTTAGTTGCATCAGCTTCTGTGCTACGTTTAAGCCATTGGTGAGCTGTCAGGTCTACGTTTGACTTTAAGGCTCATTACGTCCATAAGATGCAGAGAAAAAGTATCGTTAAAACCTTTGGCAATCTGTGGGAAAATTCTCTTCACCATAATTTGCATTGAGTTCAATTAAATTTGTGCCTTTGCCGTTCCTCTTGTTGCTGTTGTTGCCCCGTGTATCGGCACAGGCACAATATGGACATTAACAGGAAATTGATGTTATTGCCGTTCTGGGGCCCAATCCCATCCCAATGCCAATGCCAATGCCAATGCCAAGGTCCCATCCCAGCATCATTGGCAATCCCACAGCAATACGTGCCCAGGGCCAGAGGACGCACAGAAGCCACCAGCAGCTACTGTATGTAATATTCATTCCATTTCAAAGTATTTCCCATATGTGAATCCTAATCATATGCAACCTGCACATTTGTGCACAATTCTGTGCTCAAGCATTTGCCTTTTGTTTAGTTTTGATCAATGTAAAAATCTTTGCGATGATCACTGCGAGTATTGGTTCAAAATGGGTCGTTGTTAGGTCGCCTCTTTGCCAGAATCAAATATTTCTGTTCCTCTGTTTTACTTTACAAGTGCTTTGGCAGCCTTTTGTCTCTTTTTTTGGGGGAGGCCCCTTTTGATTTGAACTATTAACGGTGGCAATCATTCATTAATTTAGCTTCAACTACCACGAGGCAATGGCAGGCAGAGCCCAGTGACCAGATGCCAGATCCCTGGCAGAAGTCGGCACTCTACTCCATTGCTCCTGTGCTCCTTCTGCTGCTCTGAGCTGCTCCTCCTCCAATGCCATTTCCAACGCAAATCCAAACTAATTAGCATAAAATTGAAAATGCGCTCATTGCCAGCCTAGGCAGGGAAGCGCTGGCAGCCGGAAGAGAGCGAAGCTTAGAGTCAAGTGCAGCCCATAAGCAGGAGCTGCATGGCCTGGCATGGCATGGCCTGGCATGGAGGCTCTGGTGGGCTGGGGTAGGCGTGGCAGTCGGCCAATTTAAAAGGCATGTTGCTTCTGGAACGATGAAGCGCACAGCTTCCATGACATGAGCCACAGCAGTCGAACGAAGTCGCAGTTTGATATTGCACTCGCACTCGCACTCGTACCCGTACTCGTGTAATATTTGTTTGGAGTCGAAACCAACTCCATAACCATAACCATCCACACAGCCGCAGACTCAGACTCAGACTCAGACCCAGACCGAAACCGAGACCAAGAAAAACAAAAACAAAAAAAAACAGTTTGCGTAGCGAAGCGAGCAACATAAAACAATTACGCCTACACTTGCTCACTGCCGCCTGGTGAATCGTTCGGTGGTTCGGTGGTTCGGTGGATCTGCGGATCGTTGTGGTTCAATTCGGAGGAGGCTTGCCATGAGCATGGGAGGACGGCGCTACACCAGCGTAAGTGTGTCGTGGTGATCTGTTGATGGCGTGCACGACCTTCCCTGGCAAACGCAAACGCAAGCGAAGAGACGCAGACGCAGACGACGATCCATTTGCTCTGCCAAACCCAAAGTCAAGCCGTTGCCAAAGCTTCAGCTTCAGCTGCAGCTTCAGCTTCAAGCTTGAAGCTTCCAAAGTTGGGAACACCACACTCTATCGGTTGATTTTCAGTGGGCAAAACGGATTCCAGTCGGAAGCTGTAAAAACGACGACTTTCAGCCTTCTGCGGCAGGCTATGAAACACAATATTCATTAACTTGGAGAGCATTAATGTTGGAGATGGAGCTGAGGAGCGCTCTTTATGCGCGGCTCCTGACGGAGCTGCTGGTGGGGCACAGGCGCAGGCGCACTTACTATGGGGCATAACTGGAACTTGAACGGTGCCAGCGATACTGCGACTACTGCTGCTGCTCGTGTGTATTTCTGTGGCTGCATCTGGGCATGGCATGGTATTGTATGGGGCATGATTTCTTGCTGGCTGTGGCTGTGGCTGTGGCTGTGGCTG